AAATAAATTAAAGAAATTACATAAAAAATGAGAATTTTTAAATAGTTGATTTGATATTAACATTGATATATTTTTTTTTCAAATTTTTATGATATCTTCACATTTATATTTTATTCAAAAATAAAATCATTATTGTTTTTTTTAAAAACACATAAAATCGTATTATAACATCGACATAGACAAAATAAAAACAAAACAAAACATTAAAATAGAGATGTATCTTGCTGCATTGCGCGAGTACCATTCTAGAGTTTACTATGTATCATTGATCACATAATGATATTAAAAAATTTACACTCATATAAGAAAAAGAAAATCATATAAATTATTATCATAAAAATAGTCTTTGATTAAATATTCAAAATAGAACTTAGAAACTGTTAGTGATGTGATTAGATAAATCTATAAAAGTATAAAATCTAAGGTTAAAAATGTAAACACAAAAACTAAAAAAATGTTTTTTTTTCTAAGTCACGTCTTGTAAAATGTGTGCGCCGCAGCGAGCCGTGGCACACCTCAAGGCGCAATGGCGTGAGTCATTCCTTATAGAAATGCTATGGCTTTTTTCGTAACAGTGGAGACGCGTCTTATGCCATATCGCGTCATGACGGACGTCATGTCAAGCCTTTTTGAACACTAGGTATATGACCAAGCATATGCATACATGAAGATGAAAACATGCGTACTTTTATTTTTGTTTAATTGGTTAGTGTCTATGCCTAATATGTTGTACACTTTGTTGAGCGGGTTATTTGGTTTAATGCGTTTTTGTATTAGAAAGAGACATTCTTCTGTCAGGCAAACATATTCTCAAAACTTGTATCAAGTCATGAATTTAAAAGAACATGTTAGAAGGTACTTTAGCTAATTAACCTAATCGGTGAAGAATAATATGGTCCAATTATACTTTGATGGTACGTTATTGTGACAATATTTGTTTTTACTTGCACGAGTCGTATTTTATAGTTTTCTGTTTGCGATATATTGGTACACAAACACACGATCTTACCAAGTTTTGTACTTGCATACTAAGATATCTTGTAACACTAATTGATAAATACAGCTAAAGTGAGATTAATGCATATACCAAGTCTTTTTTTATTTTCACGTGAATCTAGATGTACGATTTATACTATATAAACGAAGAGGTGTGATAGGCAGAGGTTTACACTCCTTAAATCTAACCGTAAGTGTACCCTGTCCAATTAAGTAATGCATATGGAAATACGAGTACTGAACCAAGGGAACTAGAGACTGAGTATCACAATGAATATCAGGTAAGATACTCTTGAGGGTTGGATCTTAATGGTTTCCACATGGAAGAATTTAATTGCAATAATTATCAGGTGATTTCAATTAAATTAATACATACTTACAAAATTTCCTGTTATTCTCTCTCGAGTTGTAACAGGTTTATCCTTGGAAAACACAGCTTTTATATCTCGATCTCAACACACGATTTCAGAATTTCATTAAGGTTAAGATTGGAAAACGGTACTAATGTTTAATTGGTATATCTTTATCCAAGTTCTCCGGTTTAGCATATGAATCATAAATCTAATTGTAAATTACTTTTCTCAAAGCTAATTTATAACAGTTAAAATAAACTGGAAGTTGATCAGGCTCATAAAGACACTAAACACAAACTCATATGCTTCATTAATTGGAAAACCCAATAAAAATCTCAATGTTTATGCTTACAAACCAAAAGTCATCCAACCCCCAACATCTAAAGATTAATTCATGCTAAGGGTGGTAGAAAACAAATCAAGGAGATAAAAGAATCATAAGTTAGACATAGTTTCTCAATCGAAGTCTAAAAGAATGTAAAAAAAAATTCCTTTTCATGATGAATCCCCACTAATGATCTATGAATCTGGCTTCAGATCTTCCATGCCGATGGTAATCTCCGCGTTTCATGGATCCAAAATCGTTCAAGAATCATCAAAAATCGCCCAAGAGATGTCTTTAACTGTATGGTCTGTTGTCCCCTTAAACCCTAGTTGAAAATCTTATATAAACGCCAAACAATAGCCAATGCGACTTTTCATGCCACTTAAGTTGCTTGAAAAGTCGTCGGACCTATAAAAGTCGTCTAATCTTGTAACTCTGGCCCAAGTTGCCCGAACACTGTTTTGGTTAAAAGTTCATCATTTTAGCTTCAATTTTCCTCTAGAAGGTACTGTTGGACTCCTCTTCGAGTCTCTATTAAAAAAGATTATAAGATCTTGCAAATAAGCTCAAAACCTCAGGTTTTTTCCATTTCTCTTGAAAAGTCAATTCATGTACAAACTTGCAATCAACCATCAAAATAACAGTTCTTTTGCTTCGAAACCAAGCGAAACTACCCAAACAATGGTACAAGAATAACGTCAAAATGACGTTATCAACAACACTAAACCAAGCATTGCTAGTCCTCAAGCAAATTAACGATAACTAAAGATAAAAAAAATAGTTCTAAAAATAGTTCGCATGATGGGCCAAACAAGTATACTTATCAGATGTAACGAACTATGTCACATAATAGTGAACAGTAAAATGACATCCAATTGTACTTGCATCATAGAGAGACGAAAAATAAACATTGAAGATCGAACTAAAAACAATTACACTATAATGAATTCAAATTAGTCAAACACACTTTCGAAGAGGATTTTGCCTTAACCCTACCTCACGGGATACTCTCAAGTCTCAATACGCTCGAGTCTTAGGTTCTCACACAACACAACTCATGCAATAGGAAGTTATATAATAATCTAATCTAAGCAAAGATCAGGGGCGGACCTACTCATAGAGTAGGGGGTGCACGAGCACCAATTCGATCAACCTGTCGTAATGGAATTTTTTTACCGATCTTAACTGTGCACCCGCTTAATTTTGAAGTGTGCTCTTATATGTTTTAAAACAGAATTTAAGACAAAAGTATGAGGTTGTGGCATGGTTGGAACACTACTTGTCTTCCTTAAGGTCATGGGTTCTGTTGGGTTCAAGATTATGCTTAAATGTTGTATTCAAGTTCTCTCAAATTTGTAATTGCTCTGTAATAGATAGCTTTACTACTTTCCTAGTATAAATAGTTTTTAGCTGGTTAATTGTAATTAGTTCATGCTAATCCCTTTGTAATTCTCTCAAGAAATATCATTCTCAATCTTGGTGAAAAATCTCTCTCTACTCATCTAATTGTTCTTGAAGATTTATCTGATTATGATTGATTATTGGGATTAACAATTGGTATCAGAGCACATATGCAGCAATTTGATAGAAGCATTACACATTTTTTCAAGGAATTTTGCACGAATTTTCTGGATTTTACGCACTGCTCATCGACTGGGTTTTAGTGTTCTTCGTGTTCTTGATCGGACTACATAATTTCTTCTCTAATCTTGTCAATTTTGAGTGTTAATCGTTAAAATTTGCACTACTAGATTCGCATTTTCATTTTGAATATCTTTGATTCACACGATTTTGAGTTTTAATCAAGTTTTGAATAAATTTTGGCTGATTTTTGAGTTTACGAAAAAGTTTCTGTTCTTCGAAAATTCATAATTTTTTCATGTTTTGATCCAAATTTTTGGTGAAAAGTTGTTAAAATTGTGTTTGTGTTTGAAGATTAATAGTATAACTCTTGATCGATTATAAGCCGCTCAAAGCTTTGTGCGATTTAAGACTTGATTGATTTTGTGTGAATTTTGATTGTGCGATTTAAAGGTAATCCGAGTAACACTTGTGCGATTTAGTGTTAAACCGTCTGTAGTTGTGTCCAATTTAGAAAAAATCCGTTTGTAACCCTGTGTGATTTAGTGTGCAATTTAGTAATCCGCTTGAATTTTTGATTGCTTGATCATAGTGGTTTGTGCGAACTTTGACTTTGACTTCTTGTGCGGATTTTAAAGTTGAATATTTGTGCGGATTGTGGATTGTCAAGCGATTTAAATAGTTTGACTTTGTAATTTGAGCGGATTGAATTGTTTGATCGTATATTGCATTGTGCGGATTACATTTGTTTGACTTGTTGACTTGTTGTGTCCGTATTCATTTTTGTTAATTGTGCATATTTTGGCTATGTGTTTGATTTGTTCGGATATCTAATCCGGATAAAATGTGAGATTTGATTAGAATTTGACAAACTTAGTTGTCCGGATATCTAATCCGGATAAGCTTGTCCGGACTTCTAATCCGGATAAGTCTAAGTGTGCAATTTTTTCTAAGTGTGAATGTGTGTAAATTCCTTGTGTGCTATTTTTTAAAATATTCTTAAATTTTAATCTTTCAAATCAAATTTTGAACTGCAGAAGATCCAAAATCATTTTAATAAGATAAAATGCGTTCAAGAGAAGCTATGGCTATTGGTACTGATACCAAGCCACCAGTTATGTTCAGAGGAGATTACAACCAATGGAGAGACATATTCCTCAATTTTATTGAACGAATGAAAGAAGGAGAACTGATGATGGAATCTCTTATGGAAGGACCAACAGTATTCTGGAGAGAAACACCTACCATTCCTGCTGAAGGCAAACCTGCTCAAAGAGTGTTAAAAGAAAAATCCAGATATACAGCTGAAGAAAAGTAAAGAGCACATGCTGACGTGTTGTGCAAATCGTATATGATGCAAGCGCTGACCAATGATATCTATACAAGCATCGACAGTCACAAAGCTTCTAGACACAACATGTGGATGCAGATAGAGAAGATGATGATG